ATGGAGATGGGCCTGCATCTCTCCCCCAGTCATGCTAAGTTTGGTTCTATGATGTTCGAATAAGTTCTTCCGAGATGTTCTGAGAGTGCGGGGTGATTTAGTCAAAGATGAACCAGTGAGGCATCATGAGCAGCATTGAGCATCCTGAAACTGACCTTATTTTGACCAGCTCAGGTTAGCACTGCATAGGATGGAACACTACTTGACATAGGACCCTCAGATCACCAGTGTCATACAAACAAACAGCACACACTACTAGATCATGTTTTGATGTTCTGCTAAAGTAACAATTTGAAACATTTCAATCTTGGGCAGAGATCAAAAAGGTGGTCTAAATATTCCAGTTGACTTAAACAGGACAATTGAGAAGCATGATAATTGAGCTCCTTATCCACTGTTCTCTATATATCCTGCATATTTCCTAAAACAAGAGCTCTCTTGGCATAATGCATCAGTTTCTGGATGCAACAGAATTTAGTTTCAACAGTTTAGGTTCCCTGCATTCAGGTGTAGAAATGCAAATTGGCAAGACCTGTTGGCAGTCTTTCTTCTTCATTGCTGGAGGGGAATTAAAGACTGGATAGAATGAGAAGGAAACAGAATAAGAATTGCTGGTCAGGGTCAAAAGAGCAGCAGGGCAGCCCAGTCCAGCAGGGATCCAGGTAACAGAAGTGCAGAGAATGTAAAGTGAGAAAAATGCTGCTTTTTCTCAATGTATCTCTGAAGGAGAGAAGAGCAGGCAGGATCTGAGCCAACTTCATTGAAGATCAGAAATGAACAAAGCACATTTTGACCACCAGTTCAGCTTAAACTGCTTCTTTAGAAGTTCTACCCAGTTGCATGCATTTGCTGAAAGTAGTTATGATGTCACAGAGATTTTAAAGAGCTTTTGGGGAATGGGTTTTTCTAAGGGCTGGGTGGATATTGCTGACCTTCATGTGTCCCCTGGTGAAACTGCCAAATTTCTCTCCCAAAATGTATGTTAACACTGGCATTGCATATATCCAATCTGGTTGTTCAACATCTGCAAAAGATAAGAGGGAATAAGATACAGGCTTATGGCAATAGTAGAAGCACTTGCTTTTTGGAGTTCAGTTTGACTGCTTATTCTAGTCAGATGACACTGAGAGGAAAGGCAGCTCCCTCCCCCCCTTAAAAAAAAAGTGTTAGTTAAGTGTGCAATTCTATAGACATTTACCTGGAATTAAATTCCACTGAACTCCGTGGGATTTATTTCTGATCAGTAGACATGTATTGGATTGCAGCATAAATCCCTTCCTGCCAATCTCTTCAGTTCTGTGAACAGCTGTGAAAAAGATGGGGTAAAAATAATTCCTACAGATGATGGCTAGAATGGTCTCCTTAATGCCTTGATCAGTCTTGCGGTGCTGTCTGCTAGCCCTGGCTGGCTGTTTTATTTCTTCAGCCCAAACAATGCCAACCTGAACCTTATCCAAAGTAAATGGGGCCTCTCCTGTTAACAGATTTCCCTTTCTGATTGCCAGAGCCAGGAGCTGTGGGACATCTGAGCTTCACGGAGATTCTGGACACATCGCTCAAGGTCAGCTGGCAAGAACCTGTAGAGAAAAATGGCATCATTACAGGCAAGTATCAGCAAGTAGCCATTATGAAACTTGTTACAAAAAATGGAGAGAGGGATCTGAGAATAGGGAAGGTTGAAGTGGAGGAGAGACATCACATTGCAGTGATCAATCGGGCCCGCTTTTATCAAGAGCCTCTGTCTAAGAATTCAAGCTTGCTGCTACTACTATTGTGAAGCTGAAAAGTCAACAAAGGTATGTTAGAGGAGTTATGGGGCCAATTACCACTAGTACAAAATCATGACTCCTAGAAGAGCGGTCTCTGGAAGAAATCAACTCCCCACTAGCTTTTTGAGCTTGTTAAATCCCATGATACTGCTCCCCAGTTTGCCAAACACACATATTTCTTTTCTTTCTATCTCTCTAAAATTGGGTGGCCGCTGCTCCCAAGAATGACGAAATTCTGGTACTAAATTTTCAATAGGAATATCATGACTTGCTAACATTCATATCCAAAAACCGGTTGCAGTTTAGTTAAACATTCCAGTTACATCTTTGACATATGCTGTATTAGAAACTAAACTGTTTTCTTTTGTTGTCAGTGGTAGAGATCCTGCTAAACCGTTCTTTCCTGTTATTTGTCTACGTAACATTTTGTAAAGCCATTAATTGACATAGCTGTGGTTAAAAAATGAAGTCAGTTTGATATTGAACTGAGACTTTCACAGGGTTTCATAAATCTTTATGTTGCATATACTTCTTTTATGAACATTGGGAGCTGCTGCCACACTGCAGAAATAAAGCATTTTGATGGCACTTTAACTTCCATGGCCCAATGCTGTGGAATTCTGGAATTTGTAGTTTGGTGGGGCACCAGAGTTCTCAATGTCCCACAAAACTACAAATCTCAGAATTCCATAGCATTGAGTTGTATCAGTTAAAGTGGTATTAAACTGCTTTACTTCTGCAGTGTGGCAGCAGCCTAGATGTCTGCATAAAAAAGAGAATAAGCAACAGATCTGAATACAGCTGGCCCTCTGAATCCATGGATTCAACCATCCTTGACTTGAAAATATCTCTCCTCCCACTCCACATGCCAAAAAGCAAACTTTGATTTTGCCATTTTATATAGGGGACATCATTTTAGTACCCCATTGTATATAATGACACTTGACCATCAAGAGATTTGGTATCCACGGAAGGCAGGGGTCGTCCTGGTGCCAAACTCTAGTGGATACCAAGGGCACACTGTAGTATACAACATAGAATTCTTTTGACTTATGTGTATCAAACAGGCATATAAATAAAGGAGAAAAAGAGATTGGAGGATCATTCTTGGAGGGGCACCAGTTCTCTGATGGAGCATATGTGCTGCGTGCAGAAAGTCCCTTGTTCAGTCTCTATTGTGTCCAGTGGAAAGGGAACAAGCAAAATATGA